ATTGAAAGACTTTACTCCAGTAGTAAAAATGTTTCACAACTTGGAATGGTTTATGGAACATTAACTTTCTACTATTCCCTTTTGGAAGGGAAACTTTTCAGTTTACTCTTCCTTAATTTTAATTTTTAGACTCGTCAAAATTCCTTATCAGATACTCTTCTCCCCTTTTCATCTATATAATCAAATGTCTCCTTCAGAAAACCTTTTTCCTAGTAAAGATCTCTTTGACTAGGTAGTTAATGAACTCTAAGGTTATGTGATCTTTAGTTACTAGCTAACATTTATATAGTGTTTTAACGTTTGCAAAGCTCTTTATGTATATGATATCATTTGATGCTTCACTAGTCTCCTGAAAGATTAATCCTGGTGATCAAGAGGGCTGTGTTTTGGTGTTGGTTCTGATGCTTATCTTTAGACTTGACAAACTTTTTAAAGCCTTCTCTCTCCTGGTTTTCTTTTGTTTGGGTTGGGGGTGCGCGTGTTAGTAAGCAAGTTCTCGGGCTGTTTAGGAATGGAATTGGATTTCCTTCATGACTTTTAAAAAAATTACATTCTTTTTATTTTCAAATCAACAAAAATCTGCCATCTCTAGATACCATTGAAAAAGAAAGAAAAATAAAACTCTTGAGACAAACATGTATAGTCAAGCAAAACATATTACTTGCATAAACCATATTTAAAAAAACAAAACAAAACCCTAAGCAAACAAAGTCTCAGTGAACACTCTGAGTCTATTAATTCTGTCAGGTGTTTCCATATGAGACCTGGAATTGTGGTTGGTCATTTTGTTGATCAGAATTCCTAAGTCTTTGAAAGTTGTTTGTCATTACAGTATGGTTAATGTAAATTGTTTTCCTGTTTCTGCTCACTTCACTCTGCATCAATTCATACAAGTCTTCCAGGTTTATCTGAAACCTATGTAATTTCTTATAGCCCAATAGTAATCATTTCCTAATTGATGAATACCTCCTCCATTTCCATTCTTTGACACTGCAAAAAGAGCTGCTATAAATATTTTTGTACATAAGAGTCCTTTTTTTCTTTCTTTGATCTCTCTGGTGTGTAAACCTAGTAGTGTTATTACTAGGTCAAACAGTCTGTACAGCTTAGTAGCTTTTTGGGCATAGTTCCAAATTGCTTCCCAGAATGACTAGACCAGTTCACAGCTCTATCAACATTGCATTAATGTATGGTACCAGTTTTCCCACAGCCCCTCTAGTATTTGTAATTTTTCTCCCCCCCCCCCACTTTTTCAGTCAGGTGGTTGTGAGGTAGAACCTCAGTTGTTTTGATTTTGCATTTCTTTAATTATTAATGACTAAGAATTTTTTTCTTTTACATAAGAATATTTACTTCAAAGGTATGGCAAGAATAGGTATGGAAACATTCCCCTAATATCTGAGAGCATACTGTCTCCCCCCCAGCTCATACTACCTCCATCTCTGGAGGGAGGAGAGGAATTAGGTTCACAGTTTAGCTCAGTTCCTCTATAGCACAGTCTCATACAACTTCACTGCAGCCTTGGTTCTGAACTGAAGCATGTGCACTTTGTATTGTGCATGTTCTCAGGCCACAAAATACCAAGGAACACTGCTGAAATGCAAAAAGGGGTACCTACAGGAAAAAGTTTAAGAAGCCCTGTCCTAGAGTTTTCTCTGGGTATTTTCTCCATCTGTCCCTCATTTCCTGAAATTCTCCCCCTCATCTCTGCCTCCTGGCTTCCCTGATTTCCTTCAAGTACCATCTAAAATCATGTTTTCTACAGGAAGCCTTTCCCAGTCTCTGTTGATTCTAGTACCTTCCCTCTGTTACTTATTTCCTTTTTGTCTTGTATATTGCTTATTTGTATATAATTGTTTGCCGATTGTCTCTTCTATTAGATTGTGAGCTCCTTGAGGGCAGGGACTATCTTTTGCCTTTATTTGTATCCCTAGTTTTAGCACAGAGCTTGGCACATAGGAGTTTAATAAGTGCTTCTTGACTGACTGACTGACTGACTGACTATATATTCTTTGTCTTAATTCATCAGCTCCCATGGATTCAACTGTCACTTCTGTGCAGATGATTCCCAAATCTGCTTGTCCAGTCTTTTCTGTCTGGGTAGATGGATATCTCCCGTTTCAGTGTTCCCTTAGTCATCTTAAACTCAATATGTCCAAAATGAATTCTGCAACTCATCTTTTCCTATAACCTACCATTCCTTCTAATTTCCACATTTCAGTTAAGGGGACTATTGTTTTTCCAGTAACCTATGTTCAAAACCCTTGTAAGAAGTATTCATCGTCAAGGAAAACAAAACCCTACAATGCCATGTAAAAGCTATGACACATTCTGCATCTTGAATACCATTACCTCTCTGTCAGGCAGTGGATAGCATTCCTTCATTATCAGTATTCTGGAGTTATGGTTGGTCATTACATTGATGAGAGTTCTTAAATCTTTCAAAGTTGTTTGTCTTTACAGTGTTGTTATTATGGTATAAATTGTTCCTCTGGTTCTCTTAACCTCACTGTGCATCTGTTCATACAAGTCTGAGGTTTCTCTGAAACCACTCCATTTGTCATTTTTATGATGCAATGATGTTCTGTTAAACATTTATATGACAATTATTCAGCCATTTCCCAATTGATGGGTACTTCCTTAGGGAGTAGTCCCTGTTGTAGTTCTTTCCCACCAGAAAAAGAGCTGCTGTAAATATTTTTTGTGGGTCATTTTCCTTTGATCTCTTTAGGGGGTAGGCATTAATAATATTGCTATGTCAAAGAACATAGGCAGTTCAGTAAATTTTTAAGTATAGCTCTAAATTGCTTTTAATAGTGGCTGGACTAATTCACAGTTCTAATAACAGTGCATTAATATGCCTGTTATGCCACATATTAACATGCCACAACCCCTCCAATATTTGTCATTTTCCCTTTTTGACAGTTTTGCCAATCTGAAGCAACATGCCTGTCTCTTGGAACCTCCTTCCTCCCTTTGAGGCTTAACTGCAGTGCCACCTCCTTCAGTAATCCTGTTTTGATTTCCCCAGTTATTAATGTTTATCCTCTCTCCTATTCCCCCCCCGAGTCATTGTGTATTTATTTTGTATATGGCTTGTGTTGGAGGTGAACATTGTATCCCCACAGTAGAACGTAAGCTGCTTCTGTACAAGAACAGTGTTGTATTTTTACCTCTAGAGCCTAGCACAGTCCATGTATGTTCTTAAGAAATAAATGCTTCTTGTTTGGATTGTAAAGTATAAATGTAAAGTATAAACTCAGTAATTTGCCTTAGTGATAAAATCATCCTTCAAAATAACAAACAACGGGAAATTCTATTCTTGATCTCACTAACAGGGAGTAGCTGTTGCTAGGGTGGATATAGTGAGAACCCTATAGGGAAGTGACTACTTATTAATGATAGAGAGAAAATCTGGGCATAGTCTGACAGGCGCACTAGATTTTAGGAAAGCAGATTTCAAAGGGTTTGGGGAAAGATAGTTAAGAGCTCACAAAGCACATTATTGAGGGGAAGTCATTCCAGAAAGGACAGGAGATTATGAAAAATGAAATTCTGAAAAGGCAAAGGGAAACAAATTCAATGAGGAAGAAAAATAGAATCCTGTAAAAACAATGTCAGGGAAGCAGGATCTAAGAATGAACTGAGGTTGTTGAGGAAAGTGTTTTTGTTTGTTCTTTGTTTTTGAAGCTAAAGACAAAAATTTTTTCAGTAGCTTTATTGGGAGAAAATGGAAGGTCAAAGAAGGGCTAGGACTTAGCTTGGGGTGAATAAGCTGCAGCTGAAAACAAATAGAAGGTAGAACTGCTCAGTTCTGCTTGTTTCTTCTTTCTTTCTTTTTCTTTCTTTCTTTCTTTTTTTTATTTTGCCAGTCTTCTGGGCCCCCATTAAAAAAAATATGAAAACATGAGATTATGGGGAATGGGGAGACACCTTTGCAACAAGTAAGCATTGTTGAGCACGACTGAACCACACAGTGGCCATGTCCAGAAATGTATTTTTTAGCACCTTGAATCCATCACTTCCCAGGAAGTGGGTAACATGCTTCAATAAAGCTTAGAGAGATACATGCTGATTATTAGCTTGATCAGCATTCTTAATTCCTTCAAAGTTGTTTTTCTTTACATTGTTGTCTTTGTATAACTTGTTTTCCTGAGTTTTCACTTTATAGTACATTAGTTATAGCACCTCAGATTCTCTGAAGTTGTCTTTCATAATATGTATTCATGTAACAGTTTGCTCAGCCATTCCCCAGTTGATGAGTACTTCCTTAGATTCTAGTTCTTTGCTTTTTCTTTTTCTTCTTTCTCTTTTTGTTTGCTCTTAATCCCCATTTCAGTGTCAGGAAGTTTGTTTTGCTTGTCTGTATTTGACAAGTAGTATAGTGGGTGGAATAGAGTGGGAAAGAGCTCTGGACTTGGAGTCAGAAAGACCTGAATCCAAATCCTGCCTCAGACATTTACCTGGGCAAGTTGTTTCATCTCTATTTGCCTCAGTTTCAGCATTTGTAGAATGAGGAAAATAATAGCACCTACCTCACAGGGGTGTTATCAGGATCAAATGAGATATTTATAAAGCACTTAGCATCTAGTAGGTGCTATGTAAATGGGGGGTAAAGCGGGAGGAGCAGGCATATGCCTTCTGTACTTTTGTTAACTAGGCAATGACAGACAGGCAGAAAGTGAAGTTTTTTAGCTTCTTTCTTTAATTACCTTAATAGTAGTATACCTAGCTCCTTACTCCATACATGATTTCCTTATATATAAAAAGGAAAAAAAAAATGCGGGTCTAAATACAGGCAGATTTCTTCAGGCAGCCAAAAGTAATTACCCGTGTGGCAGATCCCAGGTATGTTAAGTGTCTTGATAGGTTTGATTGGTCAAATATAGATAGGTAGCATAATTGCTAACACAATTTTGTTTTAAGTATTCTAAGTATTGGGCCACTTAAAGTTTTTCCTCACTTAAAAGTTTTTTCTAATACTGCATTTTTCTTTCCAGGTTTGGAGTGTCACTGCCACCTCTGTATTAAAGAAAATTACACGTGTGTGACAGATGGACTTTGCTTTGTTGCTGCAACACAGAGTGCAGACAAAGTTATATACAATAGCATGTGTATACCAGAAGTTGATTTAGTTCCTCGAGATAGGCCATTTGTATGTGCTCCCTCTTTAAGAGATGGGTTTTTGATGTCACCTTTCTGTTGTGCCAAAGACCACTGCAATAAAATAGAATTCCCAACAGGTAAGTTTGTGGGTTTTTTCTTAATTGTTCAGAATCACTTAATTTAAATATAGAAAGAGAATTTCCTTATCAGCAATTCTCAAACTTTTTAGTGTCAGGACACCTTTACATTCTTAAAAATCATTGAGAACCAACCCCCCCCCCAACTTCTGTTTATGTGGGCTACATTGATCAGTATTTACTGTATTAGAAGCCAGGTAAGATGATGAGATGACTGCCCTGGGTGCCTTAAGTGGACTATCTGAGAGTTCTCCTTGTCTCCCCTTGTAAAAGGACTAAAGAGAATTAGGGGTCACTGTTGTATGTGGTTCTTTGAAGGCTTGGAACCTACCAGATAAAAGGATGGTTAAGAATAAGAATTCTTATTTTTTGGGGGGATGGGTAAATATCTCTCTTAACAGAGATATTACTGACTTATAGAAATGAAACCTGTGACTTAAGTTCCTTGACTTCTCTGGACCTTAGTTTCCTTGTCTGGAGCATGAGCTTGTCAGATTAGATAATGTCTTAAGATCTAACATTCCATTTGAGTCTACCCCTTGTTTCCGTTAGTTGGTAATACTGAGTGAATTTGATAAAAATTCTTATGACCTGGTATTAGACCACAGTAAAAGAATTTTGCCAAGAAACTTAATCAAGGGAATGATACTTCTGTGTGACTACAGTTAGATAGCAGCTTCACCAATGCTGTAGATCAAAGGAAGCACAAGTAAGGGATTTCTGTAACTCTGCCTGAAGTCTGAATCTGTATGGATGTATACTTGAACAGCATGGTTAAGACTTTCTTCTACTTCCTAAGACCTTTTTCCATTGTTTAGTAATAAAGAAGTAAGTAGAGCTATTGTCATCTATCACCAGTCAGCATGGTTTTCCTGATAGCGTTTTTTTATGCCTGTCTATTTACCAGTTCCCAGTGACTTATCTATAGCCATACAAATTAGATCTGAGGCTAGACTAACCCTTCCCTAAAACATCCATGGTTACAGATGCATGATAGAGCAATGTAATTTAACCCAGAAGTGTTTGTTAGATGAAAAATGTAATAATGGCAGATAAACATACAGCATTGAAACTTATTTGAAATCAGTTTACTAGCTATGATTTCTTTACCCCTATAGGTACCCCAGTGAAACCATCTAATCTTGGTCCTGTGGAATTGGCAGCTGTTATTGCTGGACCTGTCTGCCTTGTCTGTATTTCATTGATGTTGATGATCTATATTTGCCACAATCGTACTGTCATACATCATCGTGTTCCAAATGAAGAAGATCCCTCCTTAGATCGCCCTTTTATTTCAGAGGGCACAACATTAAAGGACCTAATTTATGACATGACCACATCAGGATCTGGGTCAGGTAATGCTTTTATTTTTCTTTTTTGATTAAGAGATTTAAGTAATTTTTAGTTTAAATTATCCTTAATTATTGTATCTGTCACCCAAACCTTTTAGCGCAATTGATTGAAGCATGAAGCTAATGAAGAGCTGTGTCAGATTTGATCCTCGTGGGTGCATTAGTTTCTTATAGTTAAAACCATAGCATTAATTTCTGATTCCCTATCATTATCTTATAGGTTGGGTCCTAGGGAATTTTGTGCAAAAAGATGCAGCTTATTATGGAATAATAATATTTAAGATCTGGAAAGTACATCAGAAGGCCATTAAGTTTAACTCATTCATTGTGTAATAGAAGTAACACTAGGCCAGGAGTCAGAAGGCTGTGTTCTCATCCTCTTTCTTCTACTAATTCGTGTTACCTTAGGTAAGGCATTGAGGCTTTATGGGTTTCAGGTTCCTTATTTTTCGAGGTTAGTAAATAATAGTTTATATCTTTAGAAAAATTTTTTCTGAAGATAAATGAGAAAGTATACTTAAAAAAAACTAAAAGCCACTCAAATATAAGATTAATTTTATATATAATTTTTGAAAAGGTTGTAAAGTGAATCGAAACAATGAAAAAATTAAGATTTGAGGTATTTTCCACTGGGGAAAACATGTGCCTTTGAGATGATAAAATAAGTTTCTTGATCTTTAAAATCTAAAATGATGTCATCATGTTAGTCATTTTCTAAAGATCATGATTTTGTTGGTGTAGGTACTTGTTCTACTGAGGTATATTGCAATCTCCTAAGCAATCTTATTGTAGCCAAATGAAATTCATTTTCTAGTGAACCAGCGTTCTGGAGGTGACTTTCTCTAATCTTAGCTAGCCTGGTCCTCAAATGTCAGTACAGAAGGACCATTTACTACACTAAGCCATTTCATCTTGGTAGGCTTTCCAAGAGCTTATGTTCCACTGTCATAGCCTTATAAGAACCCAGAGTTACTCTCATAACATACAGTTAGGCTCTAGAGAAAAATTTTATGGGAGATTATGAGTTATACTAGCAGATATAAAGAAGGTTGCCTTTATTTCATTGATGATGTAAAATATGATAACCTAAAGCCTTGCTTTTTATAGAATCTTTCCTTTATAGACTCTGTGTGCTAATATGTACCCATACATATTCTGTTACTTCATTTAGGGCTGTATGTGCCTATATAGGTTTGTTGAATTGAGTTAGAAAAACTACCCTTGAAGGTTTGTGTGATGAGGGGTAGGTGTGCATTTATATTTCTTTCATGGAGTTAGATCTTCACCTTTTAATATCTTGCTGTTTCTCCCTTCTTTCTTCTTCCCCTTCCCTTCCTTCCAGCCAAAAAAAAAAAAAAAGCCTTGAACATGGAGTTTGGGAGAAAATGATGGGCATAAAATATTGAATTATTTCTCAGTTCTTTTCTATGTTTTGTTTAATTAAAAAACAGAATTTAAGATCCTCTTTCTTTGTCAAAACTCATTATATGCTAAATGCTTTTTAAAAGCTACCTGTGGGGTTAGGGAGAACTGTTTTCTAAATGATATGGCACTTCTCTATTCACCTCAGATGGTTTATGAAAGCATAATTAGCATATTGTGTGGGCCTGAGATAGTCACCAGTTAAGAGTGTATTGGAAATGGGCTTTTTACAGTTTATTTGTAAAGGAAATACTAAAAAAAAGCCTTCATAATGTGAATGTGTATACACTTGTTTATAATTAAGCATCGTAGTGCTTAGCACAGTGTCTGGCACATAGTAGGTGCTTAATAAATGTGTATTGATTGATTGTTTTGAGGAAGGGCCTGATTAAAACTCCTTGACAGGCACTACTTTTGAATTTGAAGTTCGATTTGAAGTAAATATAGTTTATTCAGTAGTAGCAGAGAGAACAGAAGGCAGTCACATTACTTTCTTTTGCACAAGCTTGTTAGCCAGACAAGACATATGAGTTCTTAGAGAATATTAAAATGGAATATTTTAATTTTTGAAGAATTGGAAGTAAAATATCATTATATTGTATGCATAGGTATGATCTCATTGTATGAATATCATTCAGTTCATTTATTGTTGTGTTCCCCCTATAAAGCTACCAAAGCTGTTTTTGTAATGGAGTTTTCACAAAGCAGTTTTCAAAATATGGAAGGGCTAAGTAGAATAGAAAGTTTAAGTTAAGTTCATTATTCACAACTTTTGTATGCTTATCTAGGGTTTTGTTAGTGATGGGATAGATGCAACATAACTAAATATAAATTTGACTGCCACCTTATCTACTCTGCCTATAGTGGGCAAGCAAACAAGTGTGGTATATTCTGTAAGCTTGTGCTCTAATTCAGTTCCTGCGAACTTCTTGTTATTAGCTCTGACTACTAGAGCACAGGTGTATATTCTGTGTGCTTTACTTCAAGAAAATTTGAATAGATATCCAAACTTAAGAGATAACTTAGGATATGGTTATTCATATAACATAATGCTTTGATTTTTATGTAAGGATTCCTTGCAGGTTTCCTTTAAACTATTTGGTTCTCTAATACATTTATATTTATTGCTTAATTATTGACTATTTCAGTAAGGAGATCAGGAAGTTTAGAAAATTAAATCTAAAGAAAGAACCTCTGATCATTTAAAAATAAGGATAAATGATTACTGAATCCATAATGTAAAGCAATGGAAAAATAATTGTTTGCAGATATTTTCCTTTCATGTTGTACTTAAGGAATACATTGCAGAAAATGATGAATTTCCTGTAAAAATATTGCGTTGTAGTGGCCTTAAAATAAGCTTCACGGTATTGTTTTTAAATATGTAATTTGACGTCTTGATGGCTTTGTTTCCTTACAGTGTTACAGATAAAATTAGACTAGACCTTCCATATTGTAGTTGTAGTTTTAGAGAACTGAAAAGAAGGGGTGGGTTTTAGTTCATGTTTTATTTTTTCTATTGTAGAAAATGCTAAAGTTTAGTAGTACCTTCCACTTAATTGCTAACACCTTTTAAAAATAACAAGGCATAATTCAAGATAATATTTTTTGATGGAAAGATTTGATTAAATTGTCTTGGACTTTATTTCCTCTAACATCAAAATTAAGTTTATTCAGCATTTGTCAGCAAAGGCAGTCCCCCTTTGTGAGCACAAGTCTTGCCTTTTTCTCTTCTCCCTCCAAATGGACTAATTTTAAACGTGAATATCTGTTGTCACCAAACTAAACACTACTAATCAGAACTCTGGCCAGTGTTTGCAAAGAAGAACAATTAAGCTAGTGAATTATATGGCTATTTATTACATTTATATTTTCAAAATGTTTCACATTTCATGTCCAGAGATCCAAGCTTACAAAAGTGGTTTCATTTACTCCCTGATGAAGGTCTTCCAACAAAGGCTTGATGATCATTTATCAAGATGCTGTAGTAAGGGTTTGTTACTCAGCTAGAAGTTGGAGTAGTTGAACTCTGAGGCAAACAGCTTTAAATTAAATAAATAAGTTTGTTTGCCTTGAGGAGAGACATGTAAATAGCAGTACAATTTACTAATTTTCACTGAGGTGAATGATAAGGTTTTAATATCATGTTTTACATTTATTTGTGTCATTGTACTATGGGTGGAAGTTCTTAGAGGACCGGAAATAAATAAAAATAACTTCAAATACAGTGTTACAATCTAGCAGATATTTAGAATTTTGAGATCAAGCACATTTTTTTCTTTTTTTGTAAATCTTTTAATTAACTTTTTTATTTTTCAACATTCACTTCCACAAGATTTTGAGTTCCAAATTTTCTCCCCGTCTTGTCTCTTCCCCCACCCTAAGACAGCATGCATTCTGAATACCCCTTCCCCTAATCTGCCCTCCTTTCTATCTCTACCCCCCTTCTCTTATACCCTTCCCCTTCTATTTTCCTGTAGGGCAGGATAGATTTCTATACCCCATTGCCTGTAAATCTTATTCCAGTTGCACGTGAAAACAACTTTTAACATTTGTTTTTAAAACTTTGGGTTCCAAATTTTCTCCCTTCTTTCCTCCCCACCCACCCTCATTGAGAAGGCAAGCAACTTGATACAAGTTATACATGTGTAGTCATGGAAAACACTCTCAGAGTAGTCATGTTGTGAAAAACATATATTTCCCTTCATCCTATCCCACCCCTCATTTAATCTATTCTCTCTTTTGACTCTGTGCCTTCTCAGAAGTGTTTGCTTCTGATTACCCCTCCCCCAATCTGCCCTCCCCTCTATCATCTCCTTACTCTCTTATCCTCTTTCCTCCTGTTTTTCTGTAGGGCAAGATAGATTTCCATACCCAATTGAGTCTGTATATTATTCCCTCCTTAAGCCAAATCCTATGAGAATAAGATTCATTCATTCCCTCTCACCTTCCCCCACTTCCCCTCCACTATAAAAGCCTTTTCTTGTTTGTTTTCTGTGAGATAATTTACCCCATTCTCCTTCTTCCAGTATAATCCTCCCTGACCCTTTAATTTGATTCTCCAGATATCACCCCTTCATCTTCAACTCACCCTGTACCATCTATCTATCTGTCAATCTATATACATATAATTTTCTCCCTCCAACTACTCTAATACTGACAAAGATCTCATGAGTTAAATGTCTTCTTTCCATGCAGGAATGTAAACAGTTCAACCTTAATAAATCCCTTATGATTTCTCTTTTCTGGTTTACCTCTTCATGCTTCTCTTGAGTCTTGTATTTGAAAGTCAAATTTTCTATTCAGCTCTGGTCTTTTCATCAGGAATGCTTGAAAGTCCTCTATTTCACTGAATATCCATTTTTTCCCCTGAAGAATTATATGCAGTTTTGCTGAGTAGTGATTCTTGGCTGTAATCCTATCTCCTTTGCCCTCCAGAATATTATATTCCAAGCCCTCCATTCCCTTAGTGTAGAAGCTGCTAAATCTTGTGTTATCCTGATTGTGTTTCCACAATTGAATTGTTTCTTTCTGGCTGCTTGAAATATTTTCTCCTTGACCTGGAAACTCTGAAATTTGGC